AATATTTTATTTAAATAGGATAGCAGGGAATCACTGTGCTCCTGATCACCAGCTGTAGTGTCAATATTGGTTCTGGGTGTTCTATTACAGGCACTAAGAGAAAGCCAAAGTAGTTAAAACAACAGGAAACCCAGGAGGAAAAGGGCAGGAAATGTTAGCTATTTACTCTTCTCTGCTAAGAATTATTCACGTGCACAATTTCACTAGTGAACTCTTTTAGTAGTGCTTTTTAAAATGGTCTGTGAAAGATTTTTTGATGTCACAGATTGGTGGGAATTTTCAGAGTGGTTATTTGAAAGTCTAAATTATATTAAGCAAGCTTGGTAAGGCCAGAAAAAAAGAGGGAAAAAGTGCTTGAAATGTTTTGGTTTATTACAGGTTGGTGGGATGGCTATATTCTAAGACATACTTCGATAGTATCCTGTTGCAATATTTAATGTTGACTGTCTCATTCCTGGTGTTGATGAAACCATCAAAGAAGTCCAGACTGTCTGTCACGGTGAGAACAAGCACTGTGTGTGAAGGTGCTAATGAAAGTCTCTGACACCTGCGGAGCCCACCAACCCCCTCCACCCTGAGAGCTCCTCATCCTCTTCCCCTACCTGTATAACCGATGAGAGGATAAATTAAAATGTGCTACTCTGAAGTCCCAACATTTAAATGGGAAAACATAAAATATTTCCACAATATTTCATATTAAGATAGGAAAACCAGTCATTTGGGCCCTTTTATTCCACAGAAAACCATTTTTTTAAAAAGATAAGTAAATTTGTGATGCATTGGTACTTTTCCTCCATTTTTCTGTTAGTTATTTATTTTTGAACTAATAGCTAAATAAGCACCGCCCAGGCTAGAAGGATTGAAAAACTGCTTTGCCTTGTCGTACAGGGGAGAGTCTGACGTGTACAGTTCCCCAGGTGTGAGTTAGCACGAAAGCCCCGTCTCCAGCTCCTTGTTGGTCTGAAGGAATCTGCTGCTGGATCTGGACTCTATGAGAGTCTGGACTCTATGAGAGTCCAGATATCATGGACTCAAATTTTGATGAATTAATATTTGCAAATTAGTTTGCCAGAGTTGGATTAGCTCTACTTAGGTTAGCCTATGATGTCTAGTTACCATGTATGTGTTTTCTGCGGCCAATCATCTTTTAATTTTAAGATCAGTCAGTTAATGTAGTCCGGTACTAAGAAAACAACCATATGTGACAATATAGAAATGATTCATTACACTACCTGTTATTCCAGAAAGGTTGCTGCCACCAGTAAATATCTCAGTTATGTTCAAAGAATTCAAAACTTCCTTGAAGTCTAATTTTTGTTCTACATTCAATCTGTTAAAAAGAAATAGTACAGAGGAAAATTCTTGAAACATTGTACACATTTTACGAAAAATGCTTTTTCATAATTGAGTGACTTGGAAGAGATTATATTGTGAAAACTTTCGTTCTCATTATCCCAACTGCATTTTTCTCATATTTCACATCATCTTCCCCTAGCTCCACAAATCTGTTCTGAGCTGCTAATAACCTGCTCCCTAGATAAATGGTTGACAGGGATAATGAGCAGAACGTTCTATATTTCAAGTAATGATTATCCAACAAAACAGCTCTAAATTTTTGTTGCTTAGTTGCTTCCTAGGAAGTGTAAAGTTTCCTTCCATCAACTCTATGTACTCAAGTCTTTCACACCAGCAAAGATGGGTCCTGGCAGGTGTTTGTGACACCAGGACCAGGGAGCAGAAGTCGCCCTTCCTCTGAGAAGACTTACTGACATACAGACAGTCATGTACACTATGTCATATGTCCCACCCACTGTCACAGTTATTTGAATTCCTTCAGTTTTGAAACACACCTAATATCTTCCCAATGGACCTTGTAAAATGGCCAAAGCTTGAAAGAGAACCAGGTTTTTTTCAAATGAACAGAAAGATAAAAACACAGAAAGGGTGGGGGAGAAGGAAGCCAGAGCTGTCAGTGCAGGGCCAGCCATAGTTTAGGACTACTGCATCCTGCTGCATTTCTGTGTTCCTAACCTGTGAGGAGGGAAGTTAACCACAGAATCTCAAAAAATCTCTCAGGCACAGAGATTCCAAATCAACAGCACCATTGAATCTCATTTACTCATTTAATAAAAAAGGGGGGAAAGGTAGTGTTTTTTTATTTTATGGGTGCTTCAAGCATCAATTTGCATTTTTAAACTCGATTACAATCTTTTCTTAATAGAGAAAAAGACAAATACAACATTCCTAAACATAGAACCATGTTTCTCACATTGGAGAAATTTCTGACAACTCCTAAGGACTTTGTGAATTTCCAGCAGATATTTTGCCCTAGTGCTCCAGGTTTGGAAGCTCTTGAAAGACCCTTACTTATCTAAAAGGTAAACCAACATGTGGGGCTATAAATTAGCTTGAATATTCAGTCTAATTACATTACTGTTTTAATTGGCAAATATGAAGCAAGATTCTTAATTACAATTCTTCAAAACAATGAACATGCTCTGTCAGAACCTTACTGGGCCTAAATTATTTCCTGGTAAAAGAACATGCACTTTGGAAAGATGCTAGCTCATTCAGAACCCTAGCTAACTACAAATAGGTACAACATGAATATTAAAATCTACTGACAATGAAAATAGCTTATTTGATGTGAACTATTTTCAATTTCTTTTTTATGACTTCTTACTAATAAAGGTAAAAGGCAAAAATGATGGTTTTGATTTTTTTCTGTTTTCATTATCATACTCTAAGTTGAATGGAGCATGGCCCCCTAACAGGTGGAAAATATATGTCCAATATACCTACAAATTGGTGATTTTTACTATAATAGTCCAGCAGTCTCAAGATGATCACAAGAATACTGCAAGACTTATTACAACTTCTAGTAATGCCTAATTATCACTGAAGGGTCATTTAAATAATAGTCCTACTCATAATGTAGTGCAATAAAAGTTACAGAAATAGAAATACATACAGCCATTTAATAGAAGCACAATCTATAGCCAATTCCTAATTATCTACAATTATTGCAATCATGGATATCCAGGTATGAAGTAGCACTTTCATGGATGAGGCACTTAATATAGATTATAGTTTTTAATCATCACAAAAATCCTAGGAAGTCAGCATTGTCAGTGCCATTAACCTATAACAGAGGATTGAGAAAGCTGATTTCCATCCTCAAGGTCAAGATAAGTGCTAGAGTTATAATTTAAGCTTACCTCCATTTTTATTCAAAGCTAATATGTTCACTGCCACTATTCTCTAATCAAAAAAAATTAAAATACAATTCCAAAGCACCACATATAAATAAGGAGAATAATGTAGGACAGATAGACGAAAACAAGGGATAGACCTGCTGCAAAGGGGAAAGCAACCAGAAGACTAGGGGAGCAGGAGAGGAGGGGCAGGGAAAGCAAGCAGAATTAAGATACGTCATGTACAGGAGCCTGATAACGCCAATGGATATGAACATTACATGTCATAAACACAGGCTAAGAAAGAATTATTGCAAGAATTAAAATGGGGAAAGGGATGGAGAGGTGGAAGGAGGGAAGTGGGTGGGAAAAGGGACAAAAGACCAAGCTGTGCTATGCGTGTGTGCCCTCTCCTCCTGACAAGTGGAAAATCACCCTGTGCTGTGCACGCAGCGAAAGAGGAAAAGCATTAAAAGATATCAGTACGATCTCGTGTGACATTTAGTAAAGTGATATGATTATTTTAGCTAATACTGAACTGCAGGACAATTTCTAAATTTGGATATCTAGTATATTGCAGACAATACCCTAGTAGAACCCTAGTGCTTTTAGACTATGCAGCATCTCGTTGGTCTTGATTCTAAACTAATTATACAATGACAAGCGGAAGGACAAGTGTTTCTCAGACAATAACTTTAAACATCATTCACCTCTTCTTACTGCACTTGGATACAGGTCTCCCCGTGATTAGTACTTCTCCCTGTCTTGGTTAATTTTCTCCCATTGCTGAGGCAAAAGACATGACACCCAGAATTAAAGAAGGAAAGGTTTATTTAGCTCACAGTCTGTGGAGGTTTCAGTCTATACTTGGCTGGCTCCAAGGCAGGGTGGCACACGGCAGAGGGCAACTGTTCATGGCAGGCAAAAACAGCAAAGCAACAAGAGCAAAAAGGAGAGTGGTAGCAAGCATCCTCTTTCCCTCCCTTACACTGTATGCAAACTACCTGCCCCAGGGCAGGTGTAGCACTCACACCCATAATCCCAGCATTGGACCACGGATCAATCATAAACTCTAGAAGCCCGCCCCATGACTGCATGAGGCTTTAGGGGGACATCCAGACACAAACTGTAACACTCCCTTTGGTGTTTACAAAATTTTCCATGAAAGAAACATTTTGTTTTACAATGACATAAAGTTTAGAGTGGCTGGATTGTGTTGTTGAATTGTGTCTCCCACACACTCAAATTCATGTAGTGAAGCCCTGAAGGCCAGCACCTGATAACATGACTTTATTTGGAACTAGGGTAATTATGGCAATAATTAATTAAATAGAAGCCAAACTGGAGTCATTTGGATTACTTATTTCTTTGTGATTAATGTCCTTTAAGGTCTGAGAATGCCATGGGACGACAGCTGGCCAGACAAGAGACAATAAAGCTGGGGTGACACATCTCTGAGAAGAGGAAGACCAAGGACGCCACCAACGATTAAAAACCAGAACAAGGGAAGAAGGACTGCTCCTGTCTCTACTCAGCGTGGCACACCATCCTTCATTTGGGCTTTTCGACCAGAAGTGGGAGAGAGTGAGCTCCTGCTGTTTTAAGCCATCTAGACTACTGTATTATTTTATTACAGCACCTTTAGCAAGTTAAGACAATTGCTGGGACTGTTCTAATATTACCAAAATATTCCTTATCAGATTGAAGACCATTATGCATGCGTTCAACTATAAAAAATTATAGCACTGCATAGTAAAATACAATTTTTTCAGTCCACATAAGAGTATTTGTTGACTTATATAATTTTCTCTTTTCTTTCTTGGGCATGTATTTTAAATAGGAATTTTTCTATTCTAAATAAACATTTACTTTGAGAAAAAATGTATCAGAACTTTCAACACATGACATTAGTGCTAAGGAAAAAATTCAATATCTATTATGATGGGCTAAAATTGTTAATTTATTTAACATATACATAAGCAATTCATTGCTTCAAGAAACTGAGACATTCTATTACTAAAATGTGATATTTTAAATGTGAGGTTGTATTTATGTTATTAAATAATTGACATAATTTTCAGGCCTGTGATTTAAATAGAAAATCTCAAAAAAATCTCATTTTTCTTTCTCTAGAGTGAACTTTTTAAATAAGTGCCTGCTGTCCTGTTTTTCATTATTCTGTATGTATGGAAGGTGGACAGCTTCATCAGGATACTCAGGGGAATGAATTAAAGAATGACAGGAAAGTTGAATTCTTCTAGAGATATTTTAAATTAGGTTATTGGAAATTATATAAAACGTCTTTCCTTGAAAATATTTCTGTAATTTAACCAAACAGTACTCACTGGACACATATGAGGCACAACAAAATTTGCTAAGGACCACAGCAAGCAAAGGAATGAGACAAACACTCTGCTCTGGAAACTTTATACAGTTGACAAGAATGGAAGCAAGAACTAATAATGCAATGTAATAAAAGCTACAATGAGAGCTGGGCGTGGTGGCATATGCCTGTAATCCCAGCACTCAGGAGGTTGAAGGAGGAGGATCATTGTGAGTTCGAGACCAGCCTGAGCTACAAAGTGGGCTCAAGGCCAGCCTCAACTTCATAGCGAGACCTTGTCTCAGAAAGACCCCCTCCAAAAAAAAAGAACTCCCGCTCAAAAAAAAATGCTGAGAAGTAAATTTTCATGAATTATTTTGGAAATAAAGATAAGAAATGATTCTTCCAGTTGGGTGATTTTGAGGAAAAGTTCATAGGAGTGAACTCAATTGGTCTTGAAGGATAAATGGAAATTCAGTGATCATACGCCTTGAGGAAGGGCTCCCCAGGCAGGGAAAGGAGGGAAGGAGACTGACACGGACAAGAGGACAGTGTTTCTAGTTTGATCCTGGCTGGGTAGCGAGCTTAACAACAACAAAGAGTAGCAGTCATCCTTGGTTTAGCAGCCTTGTATTTTCCATATTTTGTGCTACAGATAGATGTGATGAAATGCTGTTATAGCTGATATGTCACCAAGTTTTAAAAATCTTTGACAACAGGAATTTGTACATAAACAATTTGTACATACATCTGCCAACTAATGTCTCCATTTCTATATGAACGAAGACTTAAATTCACCTTGTCAAGTAAACTGTTCATTTATCTGGAAAAGCAATACAGTGATTTCATTATGTAAACAGAACCAGTGAGAAAGATACAAGTAAGTGTGAGATGATGAGCTTGGGAGCTATTGCCCAAAAACTTTGTTTTCACTAATACTGAAATCTGCTGATGTGGAACCTGTCACCACCAGAAAGTAGGCAATAGAAGAGACGGAAGGACAGAGTGGTTACTTGCTGTCTATGCTGAGGAAAGTAGCAAGATTTGGATCCCGAGTAGGAGGGCAGCCACTTCATTAAAGACAGGCCCTGGCACCATGACGACGGTGGACCAAGGGAGCCGCAGACAGGAGGAGACCATGGTGCTTGAAGTGGTCTACACAGCAGGAAAAGTCACTGCTGGTATCAAAATGGAAATTACTTCCTGTCTTGTAAACCTCTTTTGCTATTACCAAGCTTTAAGTAATGTTTGGTTAACAGCGATGTTTTCTTACTTGCATTGGTTTGCTAGGGTAGTTTGAATTACGAAAATGTTTTATTTCACAAGTATGGAGGCTGAAAGTCCACAATCAAGATTTCAGTACCATTGGGTCCTTTGGGGTCTGCTCTCACAGATGCGTTCCTCGCCCCTGTGCTTGGATTATAGATGATGACCGTTACTGCCTCTCCCCAGTGCCTTTCTTCTATGTGTGTCCTTGCATCCAGATTTCCTCTCCTTTACAAGGCAGCACTCACCCTGGACTGGTGTCCGCCGTCACGGCCTTGCTTTAACTTGACTGGAAACACCATGTGTCCGAATAAGGTCATATTTTAGGCTTTGATTATTAAGACGTCGCGTATGAATTTGGGGGGACACAGTTCAGTCTATAACTGTCGGGTTTGGAGGGATTAAGAGACCAAACTAGTCTATATTATGGAAGTAGTAGAAAGACGGTAGTAGAATAGTAGGAGGTAGTAGTAGTAGAAAGATAAACTAGTGTAATAAAAAGATAATAATTCACTTTAATCCCAGCTTTTGGGTTTTAGGATGTACACTTTCTCGTGAGGTGTGGACCTGTAGTTTGAAGAAGCTGATGATAAAGCCAGAACAGAAAGATGCTAAACCACAGTTGCCTGCAGACTTGTGGACATGAAACGTTCCTGCAAGTGTGGCTGAAAGTGCCGAAAAACTTTACTTTCTGCTTCTAGCCAAGTGTTTGGCATGGGCATATTATTAAGGCATTCGTCATTTAGGCTGGAAGCTGGGTATACCTCAGTCCCGAGTATGCTATCCACTTCTTATGTGGATAAAACCTCAGCTCCAAGTAGTCAAGTAATCCTCATACGACCACCACTGTGGCACATTTACTCCAATACAGTGATCTTTCCACATCACAAAAAGGTAAGTTTGAAGATAAACAATTTACTTTCAAAAATTATCATTTCAGTTATTAGAAGTTAAACTATCACATAATCCATTATATCATCAGTGTTTGACATATGCAGTAGTAGGAGCTAAAAAATATTCTTTGAGTGGCTATATAATAACCAGAGGTTGTAGATTGTAGATGTTTGAAAACAGCTAGGATTAGTGACTCAGATTTCAGACACCTGAATGATAAAGGGAAAGTAATATTTCTCAGAAGTAATAAGAAAAAATAAATGTATTTATTTATTTCAAAGATAAAACTCTAGTAACTGTTTCAATTGGAAAACCAAAAGGAAAAAAGTAAATCTGGGAACAGGGGAGAGAGAGAGGGAGGCAGGGAGGCAAACAGAGATACAGACACAGTGAGGGAGAGGAACGTAGGGGAAAGGCGGGAAAGCTGAAGGGAAAGAAGGTGGATCAAGTTAAACAGAAATAGGGTAGCTCTTTCTCCAGAGTATCAAGGAAGGTAGAGAAAGAGATTAATAAAGGGTCACATAATTCTTAGTGTGACCTGAGTTATTTGGGCTCAGGTTCATTCTAGTTTCTCGTGTCTTTCGAGGCATAGAAGTGTTTATACTTATTGCTTCCTGAAATAATTCTTTGCAATTTTCATGTTGTACTAACTACCTAAAATTGACCACATGTTGTACTAACTACCTAAAATTGACCACAACTGTTAGAATGGCATTTACCAAAGGTGATGTTACATGTCTCTTAACTGCACATTATACACCATCACAAATTATTGGAGGATTTTGTTTCTTTTAAACGTAATAGAAGATGAACTTTTGAAATTCCAATTATCAAAAAAATTAGAGAAAGTTCAACTAATATAATAAAAAGATAATAATTTACTTTAATCCCAGCTCTCAAGTTCTAAGATGTATATTTTTTCATGTATTTCAGAGACAAATTGAGCAATGTCAGTGCTCCTGGTGCTGAGAAAGTGTGGGAAAGGGTGTGAACTGCTTTTGTACCCGGGATGCAGTAATGTTTCCAGTGCTTCTTCACTGTCCCTTACAGCCGTAGCCTTCTCCAGCTTTTATCTCTCACCTGGCTGTTCAGATTCTACCGTAGGAAGGACAAAAGCACGCTTACAAAGAAGTGGTGCTGCTAACCTGGGGAGAACTATTTCCACTTCCTCTTCCTTCAGCTCAGAGAACCACTTCAGCATGTGATGCCCAGTCAGCAGCTTTTCCAGTTCTTCTATGTTCACACCTTCTGCAGGAAGTATGAGGATTAAACTGAAGTCGTCGCCCTTATAAGGCAGTTCTAAAATCTGGAAGTTCATGGGGGATTCAGAAAAATAACCTGCAACAGAGAAAATAAAATATCAAATACCCGTGGCCATCACCGAGGCCGTGTCTAAGAAGCGCGGCATCTCACTGTACCGTATTTTGTTCTCAGGCGAGCCTCCATCATTGGAGTTTTCACTGTGGAACCGTCTCTCATAACAAAATTCATCAGTTGAGAGCCTCCCTTTCTGAATTTCTGTTTCCAGTCGCCTTTGAAGTACACAGCATTCACTAGGACAAGTCGGGTCAGAGGCCCGAATTCTTCCTCAGAAAACATGCTTCTAATTTTTCCTATGAAAAGAGTCGAGGGAGAGGCAGGGAAAAACACACAGCAGTGATTCAGTGTGGGCTTTCAGACAGGATTAAAGCAGAAATGTCCTGCGCACAGCTGCCTGCACGCGACAGGGTGTCTCATCTAACTTGGCAAGCTTGAGAAGGAAGGGAACGTTGCTAACTATTTCACTAGGAAGTAGGGTTTTCGCTAGGAAGTAAATATGAGGCTGTCTTTGCCAAACGTGGACATGGACAGTGACGGACTCTCTTTAGCGAGATGATTCCTTTAACTGTCCTTCAGACAGAGTGAAGAAAGGACAAAGCATTTTTCCTGCGTGTCTGTTGGTATCACTCAGGCTTTGCTTCAAGCTGCTCCTGCAGGTAAATCATACATAAGAGATTGATGATACAGCGAATTCCAGTAGGTTGCAGCTTCCTAAAATTTCAAGTCAGAGCTAATAGACTTTAAACTTGTTACACACCTCTTCAGTCATGTTAGAACTGTGCTAGACTGCATTTAAATTAAAGGTTAGAGTACCGTGTTTATGATAGTACTAGTGATATCTATTATACAGCATTAACACAGTTGTTTAAGCTGCGTTGAATTTTTTCTGCATATGTAGGGAAAAGGCATTTGGAATTCAGAGAGTGAACTTCCACCTGGACAAATGTACTATGTTTGCTTCCACATATGAAAGATCACTGTGACTCCAACAACAAATTATTACTGTAATTCTTTCATTAAGAGTTCCATAGAAAAAAATAATCCTATGAATAGATATCTCTCAGGGACAGGTTACAATTTCTCTTGGTTTTGCACATTTGCATTAATTTAAATAATAGAGGAGATCTGATCCTTCTGATCCATAGCCGAATAGGAAGAGGTTCAGTCCGTCTTTAGAATATTGAAAACCATGTACACAAAGGCAAATAATGATTTCATGAAAAGAGGAAACTTTACCATCTGTTTTGCTTTCTATCCAGGTATTTATTGTTTCTGCACAAGCCTTTGCATCCTGAAAATCCACCAGTTTTACAATAGTCTGAAAAAGCTCCTGGTTACCATGGAGATACCGTTCTTTCACAGCGAATCCTTCTTGAAGGTAGAGGGCATTGGCAAGATTAAATGTAAATTCTTGTTTTTTCTCTGAGATGGCAGAGAAAAACGACTTCAGCACAGAAAACTCTTCTCCTAAAAAATAATTATAATGTATACTGACATACTGAACAACATAAAAACAACAGCTTTCAGCCTTGCAGTCTAAGCGTTCTTATTCGTAAGACCGTTCTTGCACCCTTAGGTATGACTAATGATCCAAGTTAGTATAAATATTTCAAGCATTTATGTCCTTTAAAATATGTATGTTGTAGCAAAATCAACTTTTATGTAAAGAATGTCTACGTAAATTTCAAACTGGTAAAGGACAAGAACATGTATACATACAGCCTGAAGAAACATTCCTCTTTACAATATATTTAGTGCACTTTTATTGTTGGAAATTTATGCTTAGAATTCTATTTTTTGCGTAATATGACCATGTGATTCTTACAGAAGGAGGACCTTAGTGAAGGTTAACGGTGGTATGCCACGCATGAGCAAACCATTTCAGTATTCCTCTTATTTCAGCTTAAGAGTTCCTCTCTTTTGAGCAACTGTGCCTGTCCATATTTTGAAACTTCCAAGCTAATCATCTGTAAAGATGTGTAGTAATTAGCACTGTCTATTTCTTCAGATTCACGAATCTATACACTTCGGCTATCTACATGAACAGTAAAAATCTTTAACCACTTCAGCCATCACCACTAGCCAGGTCAGAGCCAGCTCACAGAATCACCGCTGGCTACGCTTTCCTGGTGCACTGTTCTGTCAGGAAGCCGTACACGCAGATGTGAAATATTTATTCTGATGTATTTCTTGGTAGCTTCCTACTCATTACTAAATGGTTAAACACTTTTCATTCTTTTCTGCCTTAACCCTAAAACTCAATCATTAAGTCAGAAACACTTTGAAACAATGATTTTTTCAGGATCTTCATTATCTTTTCAGTTAAGTGCTGAAAACTGCACTTTCATAATGTAGAACCTGATTGTATTAAATAAATCCCCACTGAAGAAAACAAAACATGGTTCATCATTAGAAGATAGCCACTGAGTAGCTTTACAAAGTATCGCTGAGGGGACTTGTTACTTGGTCACCTCATGAAGTACAGGGCGTGTGTATGGAAGCACATTTTCTGTCAGAAACTCACAGCCACGGGGTGTTTGTGTGGGAAGAGAACAGCGCTCTGACGGGAGCTGCAGCCTGCTGGGCCTGAGTCTCGCCCAGGGTCTGCCAGCTTCCCTGGCCTGGTGTTCTTGACCTGCACATCCTCTGCTGAGGACATCGCACTACATTCCAAACTTCAGGATTTGCTATTCACTGGGACATACAAAAAGATATAAAAGAATTAAAATATAAAATTTTATTTCTATATCATTACATCTGAGAACTTTCGGTAATCCTTTAGAACCCTGGAATTCTTTACAAAAGGAAAGGAAGAAACTTAATCTATTTAATTTTTTGTGATCCATATGCAATCATTTATCGCTGCTTGAAGCTTAGAAAGAAATATTTTAATAGCTGGAAGATTACAGAGAAGATTTCTTGAATAAAGATGGAAGAGCATCTCCAAGAGAATTAAAGTCAGAGATCAAGTAACAGGATTTGAAACTAATTTTCAGGTTAGAAATGAAGTGATAGAATTTGAAACTAATTTTCAGGTCAGAAATGAAATGACAGAATTTGAAATTAATTTTCTGGAATTTGTGGCATATGAACATCTTTAAAGGGAAGGCACTGAAAAGTGAAAGGAAGGGAAACAATGGATCTAACTCATTCATCGGAGCAAATGGATTTATGTCATGTACTTAAGGCTTACGACTGTCTGACAAACAGCTCCCCTTTGATAAATCACTAGTCTCAGAAGTTGCTGAAAAAATTTCACCAAAGAATACAAGTTTGAAGGAAAATAAAAACTTATCCATCTTATGAGTTTGATTTAATTTTCAGACTAATGACCTCATTTAGCCCAGGCTGAAAAGAATACATATGTGTGGCCCCTAATGACCAAGGAGACCAAGTTTCTTTCATTTCTCAGAATAGAACCACGGAGAAGCTACACATCAGGAGGCGCAGATGCCTTTCTTCTTGGTTGTTACACAAAACATTCTACAATATTCGTACTGGGTCCCTTCTGCTTTTAAGAATTCAAAGGCCAATTTTGTGTGCATGGAAGAGACCCAAAGAGGAAAAGAAAGATAATTCTAGATTCTCTCAGTTAAAAAGTCCATGCAAATCACCTAATTTGTATCCATATTCCTAAGAATCTGAGATCCAGGGAGATAAGGAACTCGAGAAGTGACTTCGCTTATGCCAAATCAGGTGATCATTTCATTACGGAGCTGGGGCTGAAGTTCGTGCTGAGCTGTTTCTGCGTACGTGCAGTGCCGGGGATCGAACCCGGGGCCTCACCCCAGGCAAGCGCTCCACCCCTGATCCGTGCCTCTGGCCCCAGCTGCCTCCTCGGAACCTTCTTAGAATGAAGAAGCATCTGCAGTTTAAACTCTGCTTGGTCAGCAGCATTGCTAGAGGCAAAGCCAAACGAGACTTACCAGATGTTCGGCAGATGGAGAATGCACTCCGAGCGCACATTCTGAGCAAGGAAAGAGAACTGCGGGCACGGAAAGCCCTAGGGGCGTTAGAAGGACGGTTGTGTGCTCACGCAGTAAGCCAGAGCACGAGTCCAAAGCAGGAAAAACAACGCCTGGCTGAGTCACCGCTATTCTTCCGAAAAATTAGTGGAGGAATAGTGCGGGTGCAGGGCGGGGAACGGGACGCTCAGCTTTGGCATAAAATTTAAGGAGATGCTAAGAAAGCCCTCAGCAGTTCAGATATCTAGTATTTCGATGCAATCCTTTAAAATCAAATTTTATGCAAAAATTATGATGAGCAAAGTACGACAACTTCGAGTGAGGGCAGGCCGTGCATCCCTGCTCTGCCAGGCGCCGGCTTCTGCCTCCGGCCGCCCTTGTTCCACGCCGCAGGCGCCCGCTCTGCCTGCCGGACGCCTGCGACTCCTCTGCCTGTCCCCGCGGTCCGCTTGCTCACTCCCTTCTTCTGAGCTGTCTCTCTCTTTCTTTCTTTCATCATTCCCCTCTTTTCTTTCCCAGGTTTTACTTTTCCTATTTTCTCCCTTTGTGACTTTGTCTTCCTCTAGCACTTACCGTCCGTGTCTGCCTCCATCCCTTAGCAAGGCGAAGTGGAGAGCCCTCGCGGTAGATTTCGATAATTGTATTAAAGCATTAATCTTTGATTATTCATATATACTTTTCCAAAGAAAATATAACATTTTTCATTACTGTTCTTATTACCTATGAGACTCGCTGAGTCATTGTTTTCATTAGTCCTGGCCAAATTACTTGCTTGCTTTTCCCTGTTTTCTTGTCTGTATGATAGAGTTATATTTACCTCACAGAATAGTTATAAATATGAAAAGATTTAATATAGAGCAAGCACACAACACAGCAGCTGATATGCTACAGATACGTTTGATGACGCTTTAGTATCATGATGATGACTTTGTTTACAATCCATGATCATTGAGACTTCTGTATTTCTGCCTAACATGTATCCATTTGAAAGAATTTAGATATCAGAGGCTCTCTAATTTTGCTAGCTTATCACGGAATCAACTTTACATGTATTCACAAACATGCTATTACTTTTCAAAGCAATATCATATGATTTAATGTTTCTGGGAGTGGTGCTGTGGGATTTGCTGAAATTAATCAAGACTAAATCTAGAATATAGTAGCTTCGTTATACATTATTCACAAAGGAAAACTCTTGCAATTAACTTATCTCCAGCTTCTTTTCTGTATAAAATTGCCTTTATTTAAAATGAAGCAATTTAAAACTTGTAAATAGTATTTTCACAAAAACAAATTCCTAACTACAGTTACTCTGCACTAAGGCAAATATACTGAAATTAGTTATAGCTATAGCAGCCAAATTACCAAATCAAAAAAATCCAGCTGTTTCTTCTGATGTTTAAGACATAATATCCGATAGTGACGCATAATTTAAAATTCGAATCACTGTGGGACTTGAGAGTATGGGATGGCCAGGCACGTGGGCCACAACTCTGCTAGTGGGGTGTGCGAAAGCATAACGTCCCAATGTGTGGGATTCACACACATGTCAGTGTGACAGGCCTTTCAACGGCTCCAAATCAACCACTGCTTATAGGCAGCAAAGACCTCTACTGGACCATTGAAATGGTCTTTCCTAAAATTTCTTATTAAAATATTAAGGAAGGCCTTAAAATGCATAAATTAATGCGTTTTCTTGGTCATAATTTTGGTGTGAGTGCATTATTTCTGTAAGAGAACTGTCAGAAAAAATGTGCTGCAGAAATGCTGAGCAAGTAGTAGTATCTCCACAAGAACAAATGAAATAAAATAACTTAAAATCATATGTATTTTGCATCAGATACATGATATGGAAAACTGACTCAACAAATGGTAGTGGAAAAAAAGGGATATATGTTTTATGGGTTACACACACAAATGCAAACATGACTTAATCCTAATTAACAGCATAAAAAACAAACAAGACACTATCAGTACATATATGGAATATTATAGCTTTATAGATATGAATTCCTTAGTAAATTATTGTTACATTTTATTTGGGAAGCTATTATAGATGAGTGAAAATTAAATTTACAATTCTCCATTTTATTATGATTTTGTGTTTCCAATAATGCATTTCACTTATTCAAGTTCTATGAACCTGAGCTTTTTTCTAATACTTTAAAAAGTAAACTTGAGCCATATCTTATCCACTACAAAAAATCAAACAGAAGACTCTCACCAGGTGCTGCGTCCTGAAGCTTCAAAGCTCGTCTTATCTGCTGTTGTGCTTTTCCTTTTGCCCCCAGTTGCACCACCTCAAGAGCCAAAGTCGTTGCGAGGGGAGAAAATACAATGTTGTTCTCCTGAGATAAGCAAATGGTTTGGTACAGGTCTACTGCAAATTCGGCATTTCTCTGAGCCAACGTTTTTGAGGCTTGACTTCCAGAAAAAAATAACAGGAGGTTCCATAACAGCATCTTATCCATTCTGACCTGCGTACATTGTTTAATTTAAAAGTATTAGTTTTTAAAAGAGATTTCAAACTTAACAGAAGGCTTTAAGAATGAACCAGCATGGGAAGATTTTACGCAATTCCCGTTGTTTGACTGAACACCACGTAAAATGAGAAATAGAGACTATGCCCATGGTGTTTTTATGTCTCTTCAAGAAACAGCACACAATATATTTGAAGTTTCAATCAAAAGAGAAGTAATAAGTGTGGAATGTTATCAATAGCAATAATATATTTAAACAGCTACATGTTACATTTTCTGTCTTTTTCCATGGATTTCAGTGGGATAACTGTAATTCTGATATCAAAGGCAACTTTTATACAGGCTTCTCTAAAATGGCTTATCAATCAAGAACAGAAATGGAATAAAAGCCAACACATCTCAGTGTGATTTTAGTCCTATAATAGTGTGATGTCAATGTATTCTAAAATGGTTCAATAATTGGTTAATCTCCTTACAACAATTTTTTCATACTGTAGAGAATTTCACTTTCATAAGGAAAAAATAATCCAAGCCTACTTCCTACGTTTTCAAAAGAAAGAAAAATAAATGCAGAAAATTGTAAAGAAATTCAGTGGCAATAAAATAGAAATGATGCAGTAATAGTAAAGAAGAAAGAAATTTTTTAAATTAAAGAATTTTTAGCATGTATTGGGGTTGAGTTGGGGGTGTTTCTCATACAATGCAAACACTACCACAGAGCTACATCCCAGCCCTCTTTCCTCTGTGACAGGGTCTCACTTAATTGTCCAGTCCACTTGCCTGAATTCCCAACCCTTACACCCAAGTAGCTGAAATTACAGCTATTTGCCACCAGACCTAGCTACAAAGAATAATTTGACAAAGTAATTAACAACTAGAACAATAACTGCAATTAAAAATTATAACTAATTCACAAGACTAATACAACGCTAAAGTGTCCTCCAGTAAAATTACAGGAAATACAATCATTTGATTACATACCTAGAGCAGAATTAATTTTATTAGTTCTGATGCCTCATAAATTTTAGTAATATTAATTTTACTTTACAAATAATACATGATAATAACTTGTAGTAGGTAGAAGTAAGGTAGGATTAGTAAGAACAGCCCTTCACTGGAGATAAACATGAATGCCTTCAGATTAGTGCACTAACCTTAAAGAAACAGTGGACAATATTTCTAGTGTGCTTTGCAGATCATTAGCAGGCCAGATCATTAGGAGGGCTCATAAAGGAGCTAAGAGCTACTAAGAACCAGTACCAGATGCCAATACTACTAATAGTCAAATACTCTCCAAAACTAAGCCATGGCATTATTATCTATTATTTTTTAAAATTAATATTTGTAGTTAAACTCTATTTCCTTAAATATACATTTCACAAAGATAAAAGACCTTAAATTGCAATTCCAAGCAATTGGTAGAAAATAATGTATTGGTAAAACACAAATATAGATATAAATTCTCAAGTATATGTTTTATTAAGGATTGAACTAATACATACATTTCTGAGAATACAACAATAAAAATCAATGTGCAAGAAAGTTTCACACACAAAAGAAATGTTTATGTATTATTATGTGCTGATATATATAATTTCTCAGAATTTTTACCAAAATATTTGCTTTTAGTTACAATATTTGCTTTTAGTTAAGTCATAAAATTGTAATTCATTAAGTATATCTTTATGTATTAATAATACTAGAATAAGAAAAATATTATGAAGGATTTAGTATTTCCTTTTCAGTAGATCTTAGCATCAGTTATCCTTATATGAATAATTTTCAGATTTAAAATTTACATTTTTACACATCTATTTCTCTCAGAAAATTTCTGAGCACCTAATAAATTATAACTTCAGAAAAATAACTGGTTTTAAAAATCCACTTACCTCATTCAGTTCAGGCACATAATCTCATCAGAAAGCACAGAATACTAGGAACTAAACTACCCAATGAGTGACCCTAGAAGAACTGGCCCTTCTAACTCATAATGAAATCCCTTCATGAGAATAAAATATGTTAATTTAATTAATTCAAAGGATTTTTACACTAAGGTCAGTTGAAATGACAGTACTCTATTTACTAAACATTAATTGCCAATTTTCTGCATACGTACCACATTCAAAAGTTATGAAATTTTAAAGTACTCGCCACAGATTGCCTTCTGGCTACTGCTGGAATGCAGTAACTGAGCTATGCTTCCTGGGAACACTGTCGAAGCAACACCTGGTCATCAAGGACAAGACTGTTATCTTGAGTGGTGCTTGATTAATTCCTCTAGAACCTGAGCAGATGCTAAGTACAAGTGTTCAGAAAGACTAACGTGATCAGGTTAATGATTGATGAAGAAATACGCCAGGACTGAGAAGAGAAACAATGTAAGATTTCTTAAGCCATTAAACTCATCTTACTATTTCATCTATTATTTCACTTCTTTTAAAAGCAGAAACAATCTGGGAGAATGTGTCAGAGGTTGTAAACTGACTAGTAATTAGTTCTTTTGTTTCTCACAGGACACACACATCAGATTACCAATGTGCCTCATTATAAATATTTCAGAATGCCTGGGAGAAAAAAGAATAAAACTAAATCAAGTCCGCAATGCAGAGACAAATTACTGCCACATTTATAGAGTTTTCAACAATTCATCAAATTGTAAAATAGTCAGAGGAGTTTCCTGTAGACATGAGGCCCATGTGAACTGTTAAGAAAGAGAACAACGTGAAATGATACATGCTCTACATCGAGCAAGATTAATGATTTACCAAATGGACAAGATTAATGATTTACCAAATGGACAAGATTAATGATTTACCAAATGTTGTCAAGGTAACACTTTTAACCATACGTAATTCATAATAAACACTGACGTTATATGTATGTGCTTGAAAATTTTTACTTCATTTTCTCTCCAAACAGGCCATTAACAAAAGTGGATGCTTCAATGAAAGGATTTTTATCTCAATTTTGTAGTTCCATTGAATCATCTCAGTGGCTATTACATGTCAAACACGAGGTGTTACTTATCAGTGGCTTCTGAGAGAAGAAATGGAAAGCTGGTTCAGTTTCAATGTAAGCAAATACGTCACTGGTGATCATCAAATAACCTTGTTTCTGGTAAGTCCACGAGGAACAAACATAGTGAGTTTGTCATGGTTGATATCTAGAATCCTCCGAAGCCTCATGCGCGTACAGGCAGAGCTTTTGGAAGACCACTGGCTTATGGGGTCCAACAGCTCAATGTAATGTCAGGAGGTCGGCAGGGCCAGGCAGAAGGGCAGGTCACCGGGGTGCAACCTGGCGGAGAGGGTGTTCCTCCGGTCCCTGTCGGCTTCCTGGCTCTATGCTATGAGCAGACGTCCCTCACGCAGGCCCCTCTCCCTTGCAGCTTAGGTGCGTAAGTCTGCGGCACTGAACTGAAACTTACAAAACGTAAGGCAAAGTAAACCTCTCCTTCACTAACTTGTTGGTGTCAGGTACTGCGTCCCAACAATGAAAATGTGACAAAGAGCTCATGCGTGTATATAACTTTAAAAAGTACTTATCTTTATAGAATTCTTCAAGCATGCCGGTCACATTTTTCAGTGCTAGGAAAACTCTGAAGTAACAAGAGACCTGAGGAGCCTGACGACCATTACAGGCTGTAGTCTGCCAACTGACTAATATTCTTAATTGACTATAGTGGAACCTCCGAAAGTTGTCTACATATTGTTTTTTATTGTAATATTGCTTTCTCTAATATAAAGAATTTTTTGCTAGCTTTAGTTTAACACGTTATAAATAATTTCCAAAAACTGAGTTGTGCAGTGCGAGAATACTGTCATCCTACTTACTCTGCTCTGCGACACGCCAGTAATAGTCTGAACGTTCAAGACAATCCATCTGTCAGTGTCTGCCTGCCCCTGCGGTAACACTACAAAACGTCCGCACCAGCACCGCAGGCCAAAGTAATGCCTGCACACTACTGCAATCACAACATGCTTCCCCCAGGAGCAGGTCCTTACTCCTCCTTCCGGTGCGTAGAGAGCCACTCTGTCCTACTAGGAAGAGCAGTTCACTGTGCATTGCCTGTCTCTTCCGGAATAAAAACCAGTAACCATGAATTTCTTCTCTCTGGTTTAAACTCACTTAATAGACAACAAACATACCCCAACTGTCCATAAAATATTAGTGAAACCCTGCTAAATACTCTCACAAATCTCTCCCGTCTACAACTCTGTTTTGCCCCAGTAGAGTCAGGAAAAATTATTCCTGAACTCCAAACAGCGTGGTTTAAACTTCAACACCAGCACCAACCCCCTCTAAGAAATAATGGTGGGAACACATGAGCAACTGATAGCAAAAGATCAGTTATCACCTCATCACCTTGCTTAGCAATATATATTTTTAAGTGAACATGTACTTAGTTCCAAACTTTAAACACATAAAAGCAGTCACTCTCATTATTTTAAAAGTTAATTTTCCCCATTCAATATGGAGCAATCTCCAGCAATTTTTTCTGTCAGTTTATTCCAAGTATGTTGAGTGATAAGAGGAAAATGTTCTGAGAAGAAAAAATGTTACATTATATTTCGTGTACATCTACATAATACACACATGTATTGAAAATTATGACACATCCTATTTTACTGTGACAAGTTCCTTTCATTGTAGACAAATGGATCTGAAATAATTGACTCAAGTGTTAATTTCAGCAACAGTTTATAATGTCTCTAGCTTTTGTAACAATTGACAGGCAGGACCCTGCTACCTGCCCAGCACAATTAGACGCTGTGAGCTATGAAAGGGTAAGACAAAAACTAAATGTCTTTCTCATTTTTGTGCATGTTTTGTTCTAAATATTATAAATCGTAATATTAAAAAAGACTGTCACAGATTTAATGGTTCTACTCTTATTAAATATATTTCTGAAAAACTGCTCTTAACTCTTTTCACAGAAGAGGCCCTGAAGTGAATTAAAGATGGAATTATACATGACATAGTGTCTTGCACATACAAGGCTATTGAGAGGAGGTCGGTGTTTATGAACCAAACTACTTCAGATTTGTGTAAAATGCAAAATATATGTAGCAAATTAATTTCCAAATTATACCAGAAAAAGTAGTTGCCTCATTCAATATTTACTTAATGAAACGCTGTATCTTATGTGGCTCCACTCTAGAAATTGGGTGGCTGGATAAGTGCATTCTATTTATATTTGATTACTTGATATCTTAACAGTCTTTGCATATGTCTTCCACAATTGGCTAATGTGTGCATGGATGAAGGATGGACGGATGAATGGATGATGGAAAAGAGCCTTCACAGAGTATTTTGTACTCGGATTACATATTTTCAATGTCTTAATATTCCTCTAAATTTTTGGGCATGTGACTAGATTTCACTGCCTTGTACTATTACCAACCTACAATTCATAAATCACACCCTCTGATTTTGAAATGATGGATTATCCAGTCAAACCGCTCATCCAGAGCGAAAATTCCTTCAGACATCCCCAAGAGACAGTTATTTTCCGCTTGAACATCTCAAGAAACATTTTGGCCCATGGCAAGTTTCTGTAATCTTAAAAAAATTACGTGGGAATATGTCCAAACTGACATTAGATTTGCAGGTGTAGTGAGAAGAGCTACCATTTCCACATCTCCCCCTCTGTTTTCCCGGTTGTCCTCACTTCCATCTGTGAACTCCACCTAGGTACATCCCCGGAGAGGTAGACTAATGGATGGATAATGTAGCTATATATTACACTACGTAATAGCTTCTAAATTATTTGGGAGCAAGCTACAAGCATAGTTTTCCCTCACATCTAAACACCCCATTGTATATTTCCCTAAAACAAGAACATCCTCTTACTCGGCTCCCTCCTAACGCACATCCGTACACAGAGGCGCGTTTCTTCTACCTTTTTCCCTGACACGATCGGCACTCCGTGGAGAGGGAAGCGGCGCACATAGAAATCGCGGTGTCCGACTGCGCGCACGTAAATACGGATGGACTGGGCGGTTTCCTTCTGCAGACCTTCCGGCTTCCACCTTCCCCCAAACCCAGTCACTTGTCTACTGATACTGGAAACTATTACCGACAGAGTTCACGTCACTGAATTTATTCTAAGTAATAAACAGAACGGTAACAGGCAAACACCACTGCTTTGAGTAAGACAGATCTGACTCCAGTCCCCACCGTCATTGAAAATTAGGAATCCCCTAGTGATTCAAAGTGGCAGATTTTAAAATTAAAAGAGATAAGTTACTGTAAGCTTTAAATGCATTGAACTTTCACAGCTGCTATACGAAGCAAGTCCCCTTATATGGTTATTTACCTTGTGAATATGTACTACTGCAAAATTCTTTTTAAAACACAAATAGTTTTGAATAGAAACTTTTTTTTTTTTTTTTTTTTTTTTTGGTACCAGAAATCAAACTTAGGACCTTGCACTTGCCAGGCAGGTGCTTGTGCCACTAGCCTCACAAATAGTTTTGAAAGGGCTCTCTAAAATATAAATATATTCTAAGCAACCAAAGTTATGTAAATGAATTTATTAGCAATTTCTAAAAGATACAATAACAAAACAGCATAACAAAATTGAGATATGTAGAAAAAAAAAGTGTCAAAAAGGGAAGCAATAGATTTCAGAACCTGTTTCCTAAAAGAGAAATGTTCCTAGCCAGGCGTGGTGGTGCACGCCTGTAATCCCAGCACTCGGGAGGCTGAGGCAGGAGGATCGTTGCAAGTTTGAGACCAGTCTGAGCTACAAAAAGAGCTCAAGGCCAGCCTGAACTTCATAGCAAGACCCTGTCTCAAAAAGACAAAAAAAAAAAAAAGAAAAGAGAGAGAAATTTTCCTGTTTTGCCATCTGTGCAGAGTTAGCCCTTTATGTAGCCCCAGGGCCTTTGACTTTTGTAAGGCCATTACCTCTTAGGCTGTGCTAGACCATTCAATTCTGGTGCCCACTAGAAAGTCTAGTATAGATGTAAATCATATGCAGTAATTTCTCCACAAATATAGAAAAGAATGAATATGAGATAATAAAAATGGACAGTAAACATTGATAATACTGATTTGATACAGTATTGTATAATTTGTATAATTTGTCAAAATGCATACACTATGTATCACACTACACCCCAGATGTACGTATAATCATTAAATGATCAAATATTGTTAAATATTTAAACAGAAATGTTACAAACTCTGATTTGATCATTACATATTCTGTATATGTATCAAATTATCACATTGTACAGCATAGATATGTATGATTAAAGTAAAATATATCTTAAAAGAAATGTTATGAAAGACTGCAATTGACATCTAATTGCTGTGATCAGAATCACTGGAAAAATATAGAAAATGAAAAGAAGTGGGAACAATTTTCTTATTCACATTTGTAGATTTCCCTGTGCTGGGATTTTGGATATAGACTTTATAATCAAAAATGACAAAAACGTTTACCAATGGAAGCTATTAGAAAACTAATTACAATACTTTGTTCTAGAATTATAATGTTCTTACATAAAAGCATTTGAGAAAAGAATACCAACTGACATTCCCCTTCTTGACTCCAGTCTTAATATTATTAAGAGTAGGAGAAAATGAAAGTGATTAATAAAAGCAGCAATAAAACATCGTCTGAAGATAAAATTTCCAAAAGTTCAAATTACAGTAAAAGAAAGGAACAGAATTCTTGATTCTTTTCCTGCATTTTATGCAACTACTGCATGTGACAATGAAATATTTATTTTTCTTTCAATAATAATTGCTTCTTATTTCTTTTTATCTTCATTTCACAAGTTGTTTCTTGACATAATTGCTTGGCTTTTCTCTCTCGATCCAGCATTTCTTTGGGGAACAGGTTCTTCTCATCAAATACAGCTTTCAAAGCTACAAAATGAGGAAGAAAATAATGTGTGAATTCCTTTGGGTAAGAGACCCAATTAAATGAAACAGTGGGGAGAAAATTCCTAAATTTTATTTTTCTAAAAAGTATATGTTGCTTAAGTCAAGACTGTATTTGTGGAGATTTTCTCTAAGCTTCTACTCTTCATTCTACATTAAGTGAAAAAGTGAATTTTAAACAAAATTTTTCTATTAATACATTTATAGTTTAAGGGTAGAGAACTGAAGAATCTTGTATTTGCCATTCTTGTTACTTAATCTACTTAACAGCTGTCAAACACTTGTAAAAGCTAAGAACAAATTATTCTGTATTGAAATAAAACAATGAAAATAATCAAAGGACAGTTTTCCGGTCTGCATGCCTAAGTACATGCATCTGCCATCACATCCTTATGAGACACTTCGGTCTGCAGAGATCTGTGGCTTCAGAAAAAAAGCACCAAATTATCCCCATGAATGGTTATATTGTACATCAGCAAGAAGTGAGAGGAAATTGTGCTACACATTTAGGAAAATAATTTTAGCCTTTTGTGTAATTTTATCATTTCAGTGAATGCTTATTGCACACACACTATGCACAGTGTTCCGTGCTTGAGCGTAAATGGGGCACAAATATGACTAAGTCATAGGCTTTTCTCCAGCGGTAGAAAAGAGGAGCAGTACCCAAGACACCAAACCAACATACGCAATAGTACACAGTACAATGAGAATATAGCTGTTTTGGTTATTTTTCTCTCATTGCTGGGAAAAAATACCTGACATCCAAAATAAGGAAGAAAAGGTTTATTTAGCTCACAGTTTGTGGTGGTCTCAGCCCCTACTTGGCTGGCTTGATGGCAGGGTGGCACAAGCAACAAGGCAGCCATTCACGGTGGTGGAAAACAGCAAAAGCAACAAGAGCAAACAGGAGGAGTGGCAGAGGGTAAGGCTCTTTCCCTCCCTTACACTGTATGCAAACTATCCGTCCCAGGGTGGATGCAGCACTCATACCCATAATCCCAGCACTGGACCACGGATCAAGAAAAACTCTAGAAACCCACACCCAGGATTGCATGAGGCTTTGGGGGGACATTGAGACACAAACCATAACAATAGTCATCATAAAGTATGCACAAAAACATTAAAATTATATAAAAACCCATAGAGTCAGGGGGAAAGCTTAAAGAATTAGGTACTATCTGGTGAAGTTCTTGTAATTCATGCAGGATTTTAATTGATAATTGCAAACATGGAATTGAGAAAGGATTGCCCAGTGGGAACAGAAATGTTAAGAGAGGGAATAAAATGAATAAAAGTATGGAGAAATAGGCACTCCCGCTGAGGGGACTGCATTACTGCTACAATTTAACAGAAGCGTGAGACGTAAGGAGTACGGGGGAATGAGGTTGTTACAGCTGGACTAAGGACCACTTCCAATATCAAGCAAAGGAATATGAAAAAGAAGTAGACAATGAACATTATAACACGGTGGCATCTTCACTAGGATTAAAAGCCAGCACAAGTCTCCACTTCCAGCACAGACATGGGAGCATGTCAGCGTCTTTCCTGTTGTTTCCCGGCAATTACACAAAGTTAGCAGGAAAATGGGAAAAATAGCCCAGCAAACAAATTCAACTTTTAGAAAATATGAAGAACAGCCAAAAAGCTGAGATTGGGCAAAATTATGGAAAACTATCAGGGAGTGTGAGGGCAAGTGGGCGCTCACTGGGGGAGAGGCCCGCTCCTCAGCAGGAACGCCTCATCTTCATTTTTATCCTGGGCGCTGGAGAGGAGAGAACACGCTGCAAGCAGCATCCTCCCTGAGCCAGTCTGGCTCACAGAAACACAAAGGGCGGGACTTCCTGAAGATCACAGGTGGGAATCAAAATACAAGGCCTCCCTGCTCACACACCCCAACCTCTCAGCTAGGACACGCTGCAATTCCACATCTATGAAAATCCAACCTGTTAAAGTTCATTCATTTAAAAAGAAAAGAATTAACTAGCAGATATGGACACAAAAGTATTATAATAAGCAGACCACCACCAGGGGAAAAAAAACGTGGCTGTTGCATAAACAGACACTTTTAGCAAGCACTTAAGAAAAATTTAAGTTTAAAAACATTAAAGAAGCAACTATATATATGAAGTAAGAATAAAAGTGAAAGAACTTATGAAAAAGATGAAGGCATAAAAAAGTAATGAAATATGAACTGTAAGGTAAAAAAAAAGGAAAAATAAAACAAAATAGAACCACAAAGGAAAATAGGGTACATGGAAATATAGTGAAGAACATAGAGCTAGAAGGGAGAAAAACAAGGGTAACAAATAAGAATTTCATAAAAGAATGACTTGGAAAAAGCAGCCATCAAAGACAGTCAAAAATAGATACAAAAGAGCCCTATAACTGAAGTAAATCCTTAAGAAAGTAACCAAAATTTCATCACTTAAAAAAATGCCCTTTAATAAAAGACAACCTGATTGAAATAACAAAAGGACACAGTATATTCCAGGAATAATGGAGTCAAAATACTCAAAATCACAACACAGCACATAAGGTTATTAGATTTTAGTATAAAAGGAGAATCATTTGCCAAACAGACAAAATGATCAAAAAGGAAAAAATCCGTCTTGAATGAATGTGTCTCCATAGGAATGATCAAAATGAGCAGGCAGCAGAGCACACCTACAAGACAATCAAGGAAAGAACATTGTACACACTCAAGGTGCTCTTCAAATCTAAATGTATAGGTAAGTTCAGTATCAATGAATTGACAGACTGTTGTTCTCAAGAGTCCTCTCTGAGGAAATTATGATAAGATAAACCGAGACATGACAAGAAACTCAAAAACAACCATTTGGTGGTATGCACAGATTGTGTTTCAATATGATATTAAAGCAGTGTTAACCATATGCCTGAAGAGGTAGAAATGACACAGTTAAAACATGGGAGGATAAGAAGAAAGAATCCTTGTTCATGACAGATAACAAGACTCCACCTAACACTGACAAGGAGTAGTTGTATAAGAAAATTTAATAAAGTAAAAGCAAGCACACAGAAACTCATATTGGATGAAATTATGTGGAACAGAATAGCAGAGAGGAAAATGAAATACGTTCACTTCATCATCATTCAACATGAATCTAAAATAGCATAAAGAAGCTGAGAAATACAAATCAAATGTCTAAAATATCAATAACTATAAATGTGCTCAATTTCCCAATGTTTAAAAGTAATTTTAATTATGTCAAAATAATGTCTTCATATATCAAAAATTAAGTGATGGGAGAATTTGTAATGTGGGAATCTCCATCTCCCATGCCCTGGTAGCCCTCATAGATAAAGTCCACTTTCGTCCTCGTGTATATTCCCATGTGCACCACAGCATGGACGGCAGCATTCACACCTTGGGCACCCTGACTGCTAAACACACATACGACCTTGCTGGCCCCAGAGAGATGCTCCGTGAATTTCGAGAAGAATGCCCTCGGGTTGAGGAGGAGCTGTCACCCAAGGAGAGCAGCTGGAGGGACAATGGATGGCCAAGTGCACAGCAGGCCAAACTCCCAAAATTGCTATACAGATTTAATGCAATCCCAATCAAAATACCATTACCATACCTCACAGGACTACAGAAAACATTTCTAAAATTCGTTTGGAACCAGAAGACACCCAGAATAGCAAAAATTATCCTAAGTCAAAAAGGCAAGGCAGGGGCATCACAATCCCTAACTTGAAATTACACTACAGAGCTACTATGATAAAAACAGCATGGTGCTGGAAGAAAACAGACCTGAAGATCAATGAAACAGACTAGAAGATGCAGAAAAGATAGTCTCTTTTATAAGAATGCCAGAAAAAGTGGCTTTCCACATGCCAGAGACTAAAACTAGACCCATGTCTATCACCATATACTAAACTAAAATCAAAATGGATCAAAGATCTAAATACTAAGACAGAAACACTAAGTCTTGTGGAAGAGAGAATAGGTAGAACACTTGAAGACATGAGCATAAGCAAAGACTTCATGAACAAACCTCAATCACAGGGGAAATACTACAAAGAATCAACAACTGGGATCCCATCCTATTAAAAACACACTAAAAAAAACACAGCAAAAGAAATTAGCAGCAGAGTGAAAAGACAAGCCACAGAGTGGAAAAAATTATAGCCAGCTGTTCCTCAGACAAAGGATTAATATCTAAAATATATAAAGAATTGAAAAAATTGGGCCCTCCAATTTAAAGATCCAATCCTAGAACAGGCATCTGAGATAAATACACACTTCTCAGAGGAAGAAATACAAACAGCAAACAAAGATATGAAAATGTGTTCAACATCACTGGTTATTTGAGAGATGCAAATTAAAACAATGCTGAGATTGCCTCTTACTCCAGGAAAAATGGCAATTATTACAAAATTAATTAACAACAAACACTGGCAGGGTTGCAGGGGAAAAGGTACCCTTCTCCACTGTTGGTGGGAGTGTGGACTGCTGCAACCTCTGGGGAAATCAGTGTGGAGATTCCTCAAAAACTTGGGTTAGAAGTCCCATTTGACCCAGCATTCCCCTGCTGGGTATCTTTCAGAAAGAATTAAAAACACTACACCACAGTGAAATATGCGCACTCATGTTTATAGCACCAGTTTGTAATAGCTAAATCTTAGAAACAACCCAAATTTCCATCCATCAGGAATGGATAAAAAGGATATGGGTTTCTTTATACAATGGAGTATTAGTCAGCCATAAAGAAGGATAAACTTGACACATTCCTAGGTAAATGGATGCACCTTTAAACCATACTCTTAAGTGAAATAAATTGGACACACATGTGTAAATATCACATTGTTTCTTTGGTATCAGAAACCAAAAAGGCAAATAAGAACCAAAGTATGTAAAAGGTATTGAGAAATAGGAAGAAATTGTTCAAAAGAGAGGGGAACTAAGTAGAGGGGAGGGGAAAAGGAAGGAAGACAAAAGAAAAAGAGGGTAAGGGAAGGATAAA